TTGGTCCTTTTGTAGCAGAATATTCAAAGGTTTGGCAATTATAGAAAATTCTTTTATAAATTTTTTATAGTATGAGGCAAGTCCAAAAAAATCTCTAATTTGACGAACAGTAGTAGGTATTGGAAAGTTTTTAACTTTTTTAATTTTTTTTTATCAGGTTTTACTCCATCTTTTCCTATAATATGTCCTAGAAATTTAAGTTCATTTAAAAAGAAAAAACATTTTTTATTATTTAATTTGAGGTTAGCTTCTGCAAGCTTATCAAAAACTAGTTGTAAGTGAGAACAATGTTTTTTGAATGTTTTTGAATAAATAGTAATATTATCTAAATATACAACTAAAAACTTATTAATAAATAAACATAAAATTTTATTCATTAGACATTAAAAGGTAGCTGGTGCATTGCATAAACCAAAAGGTATAACATTAAACTCATATGTTCCATGCTGAGTAATAAATACTGTTTTCTTTTTATCTTTTTATTGTATAGCAACTTGCCAATATCCACTAACCAAATCCAAGCTTGTAAACCATTAAGCTTCTTCAAAGACAAGATAGGATTTCATTAATATTAGGTAGAGGATATACATCTTTTGTTGTTACTGTATTTAATTTTTGGTAGTCAATACAAATTTGACATTTTCCATTCTTTTTGGGTACAATAACTACTGGTGAGGACTATGGGCTGTTTGATTCTTGAATAATTCCACATTTTTCTATTTCTTTAATTTCTTTTTTCAAGAACTCTAAATCGTTTGGTGATGCTCTATAGGCTTGTTGTTTAATCAGTTTAGCATCTGGAGTATTAATTTTATAGCAAACTTCTTTGGTTTGTCCCAGTTCTAAGGTTTGTCCTTCTTTAGAAATATTTTCAGCAAAAATTTGGTGGTTGTTTAGAAGAATTTCTTTAACTTTTTCTCTTTGTTGTCTATTCAAAGAAGTATTAACAGTTAAAAGAGGAGTTGTAGGAACTTCAGCAGTTAAAGCAACATATACTGCAGGGTTGTTGTCAGTAA